CCTCTGCCTTTCTCCACCAAAAAAGCTCGTGGAGACGGACGGATTCCCTTCTCTATACCTTTTTTTTTGAGATGCCCTTCTCTATACCTTAATAATGATGGAAGGATTAGGATTATGCACTATATATATGCACTGTTACATTACATGTTACAAACATCATTACTTTTACTAGTATACATGCACGTGCAAATGCACGCATTGACTTTCCTCGTCCCACCGATTGGTGCATTGCACAACAACTAGCTCAAAACTCCGTCTTAAATCCCTCTGCGATGACGCGATTAGTACGAGCGTTACCGATGCTTATGGACCATCTGCCAAGGCGGCTGAGACAGCCAGCTACGCGCACGGATGGCCGACAACAGCAGCAAGCATGTGGATTTCTCCAGCATTGACATCTGTGGATGGTTCCAGAGAACAACAGTAGCTTCGTTGGTACTGTAGGTAGAACTGTAGGAGCGAATCCTAGCATTTCCAACCATTGGATGGACTCTATCAATGGTTCAGGTTGCTTCCTAGTCATGAGATTCAAAATTTTAAAACTGGTACATTATGTAGTAGTATAGATATAGATGTGTGATTGGGCGCTACTGTTGGCGACGTGCACATGCACTCGCGTGATGTTTCTGTCCGCCCAACAGTCACAGTGTCATACTGATATAGTGCTAATGGCTGACGTTGACAGTACATAATGGCTGGCGTTGACAGTGTCACATATTACGTGTCGGTGTTTGTGCTTTGCCGCGGACATGACCTTGTGTCAACACATCTAAGCTTTCAAATTTTTACAGGTACCCGGCCTACCCTACTTCCGCGCAACCATTTGGAGATGGCTGCATTTTCTTTTTTACGAACCGGGTTGGATGTGGGTTCAATGATAAGATTTATGAATTTTATTTTGTCAGCGTCCGATTGTTTTGAGCCGAGTGTTCTTTATTTATTTGTGCATTTCGTATGATGTTGTGAATGTGTGACACTTTGAGCTTAATGAATATGGATATGTCCATCATATGATGCTTACGCCGAGGAAATGCCCTCCTTTCAAAAAAGCAAAAACTATCAGAAGAAAAGTAAAATAGGAACCATTTTTCTAGGGTTTGGAAGACATGTCGCAGCTAGCTCTTCCCTTGAACCGAGGAAATATCTGGTGCACCAGAGCTTTTGGTGCTAATGGTACACCAAACTCACGTTGCACATCTTGAAATGTTCAAAAAATATCTGAAAACATTAGTACATTCACACAACATTAATGTAGGTTCATTCACACAAAAAAACATTAATGTAGGTTGTCACAAAAAATCATGTCCAAATTTAAAAAATAGCTCGGAAAACAAAAATGACAATTTCAACACTGAATAGGAGATAATATAAGTTGGACTTTAGATTTGGCCCATTGCCACAGTGATGTCTAATTTGTCATTTTTTGTATCTTAAGAAATGTTTCAGATTTTGATACAAAATTTATTAAAATGTTCTATGACAATCGATGCACTGGTAGCACCGGAAGTGCGGGTGCACCGGATACATCCCCCCCTTGGACCAGCCGGTGCAATGTGTTAATGGACCGACCCCTTTAGCGGTTTCCACTAATTCTTCCATTCCTTTGTTTTTTACGAGTGACACCCAGTTATCATATACCACGACGATTTTCTTCGTTTCTAGGCCATTTAGTTTTAAGCCTTTTTCTAAATGAAAATGTTTTTAAAATAAGAAAAAATACAATTCAACAAATGTTCTCAAATAGGGAATTTAAAAATGTTCACAATATGTAAAATATACATGTATTTTAGAAAAAAATCAAATTTAAAATATGTTTCCTTAATTTTATAAAACAATAAAACCTTGTCAAATTGATTTTTGGGGAATTTTCAAAAAAATCACAAAATTGAAAATTTGTTCATTGATTTATAAAATTCTTTAGAATGTTTACGAATTTTAAAAAATATATTACTAAATTATATAAATGTTTTTAAAGGGTGAAAGTGAAAAACTGAAAAATAAAAATAAACATCAAAACTGAAAATCACAACAAAACGTCACAAAAAAAGGAAAAACTTGGGGAGGCCCGAGTTTGGCCGGCCCATTCATGTTGCAGGCTGCATGCTTGTTCAACATCACGGCCCCTACCACATGGCGAGGGTGTGTTTCCTATTCCGCAAGTAACGCGGTAGAGAGAGTCCCTATAGGACCGAAATCATTAGTGAAGGGTTGCCTCTTACAAAGGTCACTCTCACCTTCTCATGCGTTGACAAGTGAGACACTCTATTTTAGTCATTTGTCGCAATCTAGGAGTTCTCCCTTTTTTTGGTTTATTCGTTCATTCATAACGTTTTATATCTTGAATCATGCGTCCAAATCCCGAACCATTTCCACCGTTGGATTTCTTGCATCAAGATCTTTGAAACTAGATTCCATGTTAATAAGTTTCAACAAAAAAGGATCACAAAAAAGGGACACCGAGAATTTTTTTTGAAAAAATGATTAAAAAAAGTCAACCAAACCAATGAATGACAAAAATGGAAGACAAAGACAAAGCCGGAAGCACGGTTTTTCTTCCCGCCTTTTCGCCTTTTCAAGAAACACAACTCGCGGAAGCAAATCTTTGTCTGCACGAGAAACAAATTTGTGCTTCTTGTGGAAGCATTGTGCTTCTCGCGAAAGCAAATCTGTGCTTGTCATGGAAGCAAAGATCTTTTTTCCTTTTTGAGAAGCACAACTGTGCTTTCCATGGAAACAAATTTCTACCTTCACATGAAGCAAATTTGTCATTCTCGTGGAAACAAAGTTAAAAAAACAGTGAACTTCTTTTGTTAAAAACGTTGAACAAATTTGAAATACACAATGAACATTTGCAACACAGGTCAAAAAAAATTCATAATATGGGATGAACAGATTTCAAATACACAATGAACATTTTGTAGTATATGATGAACATTTTTGTAACACACGATGAACATTTTTGCAATGCAGGGTGGAGTTTTTCATGATAAAACGTGAACATTTTCTTAATCTATCATTAATATATTCATAGTGCACAATGAAATTTTAATATATTTTATTACGTCTGCATGTGTTTTGCCTGCCCATACTAATGTGTTTCTTAAGTAGTATAATTGTAGATAGATAGAGATAGAGAATATACAAAGGAAAGAAAAAAAATAGGAGCAGAAATAGAAACGTAAAAGGAAAAAACTGAGAATAAATATAAAAACAAAAAACCGGAATAACTAGACTAAAACCTGGACAAATGGTGAAAAAAACAGAAGTGAAAACCCACAGAACAAAAACCCGCAGGAAACAGCAGCGAATGAAAACATCGCATGAACATGTACGTGGGCCAGCCCAACTGAAGGCTTGCTTCAGCGAAGCCATGACTATTTGCCGCCTGCGGGCGTAAAATGGGATTGACCCGCGGGCGATACATGTTTTTCTTTTGTGACAGCGCGGTGGATACAAGAGCAATTAATCGACGAGTACTCCTTTGGGAGCCTCTGTAAGGGTCACTTTTGGTTGGCTGGGGCGTGCCACTTGGTGCGCTCTCAGTCGTCGCCACGTGTCGCGTGCTGGACGCGATCTATGAATTTTACTTATTTATTTTTCTGTACGTGTTTTTAGCTTTTAGATGATTTTTTGTTTTTTCAGCTTTTCCGGTTTCCTCCCAGTTTTTATTAGGTTTTGGAGAAAAACAAATTTGCACGAAAAAACATGTTTTCTTTCTTTTTCCTGCGAGAAACACATATTTGCTCTCGCGAGTTGTGCCTCTCAGAAAAAGGGGAAAATGTTTTGGCAACCACGAGAGGCACATATTTACTTCTCGTCAAGGTACAGATTTTGATTACGTGAGTTGTGCCTCTCGGAGAAAGGAGAAAAGAGTTTTTTCTTTTTTCGTTTTTTCCGCGAGAGGCAGAGTTGTGCCTCTTGAAAATAAGGAAAAAAATGTATGTGTGTGTGTTCTTCGCGAAAGACACGGATTTATTTCAACTATGCCTCTCGAAAAAGAAAAAAACTCATTTTTTTTCTTTCGCGCGAGACACGGATTTCCTTCTCGTGAAGGCGCACTATATGTGCATCATTTGTCCCAATCTGAAGAGGTGGGAGTAACCTTTGCAAAAAGTACACCATAATTAGTTAGTTATTTCGGGTTGATACATAAATGCACCCCGAGCGCTGGCACACTCTCAATGGGCTGGCCCATTTCTGGCTTTTCTTATGTCTTTTCCCTTCTCGTGAAGGCGCACTATATGTGCATCATTTGTCCCAATCTGAAGAGGTGGGAGTAACCTTTGCAAAAAGTACACCATAATTAGTTAGTTATTTCGGGTTGATACATAAATGCACCCCGAGCGCTGGCACACTCTCAATGGGCTGGCCCATTTCCGGCTTTTCTTATGCCTTTTCCCACCGGTGTTCGGATGGTCTCCATGGAGAATTATACTGTGTCTTTTCTTTGTTGATTTTACAGGATTTTATTCTTATTCCATTTTTATAATGTTGAATATTTTTTGGAATCCGAGGAAAATTAACAAATCCGTGAAACATTTATGAAATATGGGAGTATTTTTCAAATTTGTGAACATGTTTTAAATTCGGAAACCTTTTTGAAAATTCACCAATGCTCTAGTTGGGGACATTTTTATAGTTCAGGAACGTTTTTAAAATTAATGAACGTGTTTTGAAACTTGGAACTTTTTTTAAATCCACGAACATTGTTTTGTATGATGGAATGTGTTTAATGTTTTCTTTAATCAGGGATATGAAAACATGTCAAAAAAATTTAATTCATGAACACTTTTATTTTAGTTCATTTTTAATAAGGGATTTTTTTTAAATATGGAAACACTTCAAGAAAATATCGAAACTCGAAACGCCTCTGCATGGGTTTCTCAGTCATCTATGAACTGAACACTGCATATCTATCCAAGTATCATCACGAGAACAAAATTGCATCCATCGATCCAACAACAACAACAGAGCCGAGCCGCAGCGAAAGGAGCGGCGCTCTAGGACGCCATGGTGGTGCTGGCGCAGTTGTCGACGCCGCAGGCAAGGACGTCGCGGTAGTCGCGCGAGACGGTGAAGCTGTCGCGCACGCTGCCGTCCCTGCTCCGCTTGTACTCCATGAGCAGTGTCGTGTGGTTGAAGGCCGTCAGCTTGGCGAACCCGTAGTCCAGGTCCTGCGCGTGGCTCCACCGCGCCCGCTCCGCCGTGTACTCCGCCAGGCTCGCCCCGCCGCCGCCCACCACCACGTGCGTCGTCGCCGTGAACGCGCCGCTGTACCGGTCCGACCCCTTGGCCACGCACACGTTCTGCATTCTCACAAAGACCCCTGCCGTGAGCTAGCGTGAGGACACCACGGCCACAGCCATGGACAGAGGCAGAGGCAGGGGCTAGCTGCGTACCTCGTAGACTGGGCACGTTCGCTCGTAGCCGTGGACGTGGCCGTACATGGCGATGTCGACCCTGTACTTCTGCCAGAGGAGCTGGAGGCTCTCCCTCCCCATGGGCTCCTCCGTCGTCCCTTCGGCGCCGTAGAAGGTGGCCGACGAGTAGCCCAGGACGCGGTGGGCGAGGAAGATGAGCCACGGCTGCTTCTGCCGGTCCACGGACGACAAGCAGTGCTCGATGAACTTGTACTGCTCGGTGCCTGGCCGCCAGTCCAGCTCCGTGTTGGCTACGCAGAACCGGAACATCCCGTAGTCCGTCGAGTACCTACACAGAAGGTCGAAGGAAGGATCGATGATCATGAGTGCTGACTGTATGAGAAGAGATTCAAATGTGATTGGAGACATGTTCAGGTTTCATGTCATATCCTGAACAAATTCAGAAAGGAAGGAAATGCCAGCCTACCAGAACTGCTCACGGTTCTCTGCTGGCACATAGAACATGTTCTGAGCTGGCACGCCGCATTCACCGCCCGAGTCCAGAGTCCCATAAAAGGATCCTGATCCAGGCCAGTCTCTTTCGTGGTTACCGCTGCAAATGACAAATCATCAATATCATCAGAGAAGAACAGAGCCTACTTTGCTCCATCTTGTGTTTACCCCATTTTCTATTGTCACTAAGTTGGAGTACCTTGCCACCATGTAAGGTACTGTAGAAGCAATGGGTTCAACCTGTGCAGTGAACTGATCCCACTGTGACAGATAACCACTGGCGTAGCAGATGTCTCCGATATGCATCACCATATCGATATTCTTCAAGTCCTTAACTAGCTGGTAAGTTGTGTTGATTGAACCACGCTCAAAGTCATTGTATTCGTTTGAGCCATCAATCTCGGCCTGAGCAAAGAGTTCAATTGCCAGTGTTGAAGCCAGGCAGAAAAAATAAGCTCATCTATTTCCTCCTAACAAATTTCTCTTGTATTTTACGAAAAGTAGAACACAATTAATGTTCTTATTTTACTTTTTAGTACTTGTTACTTTAACTCAACATGGTAAAACTTAAGAAAACAGGTTTTTGCTAAGCCTAACTGAAAGTACAGCATGGATGCTGTGACAAAAAGGATTGGTACTCTTAACAACAATAAAACGCACATTCTTTCGTTATATACTTATATATTCATAGTTCAACTCGAGTGCAGATAAGACGGACCAGAAATCAACATATGCTAAAATGGCGTCTGCCATGAAATACTTCCATAGGCTAATCAGTAATCTAATAATTCTGCCCCATGCTCTTACAGCTTTTAATTTATTTTAAAATCGCAGAAATCATACTGGTGAAGTGGCACAGAACTCACCTTGCCCAAATCTCCAAATATGACAACACGTTGCAAAGAATCCTCCCCAGGATAGGGAGGTGCTTTGAAGCTATTCTGACGTCCCCAAACAATTTGACCATTGAATAGCCGATGGCCAATCCTGTACGTGTACCTGAAATTTGCACTCGCCTGTAAATCTCCGAGGTGCTTGCACTTGTACAATTGAATAGCTAATACTAGGAGCACATGTGCAAATAGACCAAGCTTATGAACACTAATTTACTTAAGATTAGGCCATAGGTCCTTGAGGAAGCTTGTATGTATGAAACCAGGATCGCGCCATCCAACTGTCCTAGCAGGTGGGCCTGTTGTAAAATCATAATAAAACACTATGTCATATGCCTTATGGGCTTAATCAGAAGGTACGTGTTAATCGTGCTTCATTCAGAACTCTGCCATGCTATATACAATAAGAACTGTTCGGCAATTATAATCTTCTTTCAATACAATTTTCTGTTTTGTTTCAGACCTTATAAAGATGTTAGTTCCGTTATACATGGTAAGAGTTACTGACCACACATAGTGTCGCGACTGAACGTAAGGGTGCCTGCAGGAGAAAGGATTTGGATTTGCCCTTGTATGCCCCATTCAACAAACGGTGTAGCCTCCTTCGTACTATATCCACTTGTCCATGTCACTGTCATCTAGCATCAAGTCATTTAACATCAATCAAGAAACTCTGAAAATATGGTACAGTATAATTTACAGAAGCGCTAGGAACATATTTCTTCAAGAAACTTTGAAGACAAAGAACAATTCTGAACATAAAACCTACAAGTACTACCCTAAATGAGAACTATCTGAAAGACATTAAATTCCTGTTTCAGTCGCTCTGAAATTCCAGCTCCTTTGTGTATAGCTTTTGTTACAGAAACGGTGAAAGTAATAAGCTAGATTTCTCATCTATTTGCATTTGGTGTTTTTTTCCTCCTTATGTCACAATATACAATGTTCAGTTTATACCCATTCATTAATGAAATATTTAAGGAAATGGTACTTACTTCATCCCAGGACTTTCCTTGTGCCAAGCGTGGGTACACAGGAGCCTTCGGGTTTGCGAAAGTTATGCTATTTGAACGTGTGATAAGCTTCGGCTGTTATATTATATAGAAAAGATGCAAGTAGCCATGTTAGAGCAAGCACTATTTAAAAGTCACGGCACTAATAAAAAATGAGAAGGCTAAAATAAATATTACTCCAGTGTATCTCAGCTGAAACGGCATTAACTGTCATGGTCTAAGAAAAGAAAAACAGCATTGGCTATCAATCTACCATGCACAAAATCAGAGTGATCACTCTTCAACTCTTTCCCCCAGAAAAAAAAATGAACGATGTTCAGTTCCAACTTCCAACACCCTGTGGTTCAGCGTAGTGAGCTGAGCTCCGATATGAACAAACAAGGAGCATTCGTACTTACATTTGAGAGTCCTCCAGAAAACAATGCGAATGATATATCACTCCTCTGATTAATTATCTGAAGCCTCAAGGACCCCTTTCCGGTCTTCGCATAGTCGGACGTCGTATAGTTTGCATATTGGAACTGCCAAAGATGATACCTCATTATTCAGCATATGTTAAAAATGTTCCGAGGTCACACACGGAGGAAGAATCGCGGAGAATGACACCAACCTTAATAGGAGCCGTGCACAAAAGAGGGGCCTCGACCCATTGGTTCTCCGACGGGCAAATGGAGTCACTGATAAATACAGCAAAACGAATCTGTGAGTAAGCCAGTGTCCAATCCATCAAACTTTTCTGCTCTCTTAATGAAGCCCTTCAATTCAGCAACGAGAAGCGGAGAAGAATAAACTGTCACACAAGGGCAAATCATGGTCAAGGTGTGCATCTTACCTGAAATTAGCAGGGGAAAAGACCCCAATCCAGTCATCCTTGGATGGCTTGGGGTTGTTAAATCCGATGGTCACCCATTCTTGGTCCTGCCCCTGTAACAAATGTGGTGCAGCCGATTAATCTGACAGTGTATCGACTGCTTCAGTCAAATGTGACCCTTTGGTTCTCTATCTATCAGCAGCTACAGTCGTACTGGTACTGATACTGATTGACCAAATTTAATTCTAGATGGGACCAAAATGCTCAAGCTCTGGACCTCATGCGCATGGTGCTCGCGGGGCGGGAAGAAGGAACGATGGTGGGGAAAGCTCACCTGCAGGCCGAGGAGCAGCGGCGAGACGTCGACGGAGGCGCCCGGATGGATCGCCAAGGTGGCCCGGTGGATGCCGATCTTCGACAGCGGCTGCTCGCCGCCGGCAGCGGCCAACACGGCGGCGCTGAAGGCGGCCAGCAGATGCACCAGCGCCGCCATCATCGTCGTTCCCGGCGGCGACTTCATCCCTAGAGCTCACAGACCACAGCAGCACACTATAAATATATATACTGATGATACTAATAGGGGAAGCGAGTCAATAGTTTTATGGAGCAGAATATCAGCAGATGGCCCGAGGAACGAGTGACGTCTAAGCTAAGCCATAGACAAAAGAAAGTTCAGACGTTCACAAAAGGAAGAAGAGAGGTAAAGATGAGAACAACGCTCAGGTGCCGTGCCATGTGTTCAGGGTCGCGTAAAACTTTCTTTATCCGTCTTGGAACTGAACTGTTTCGTGTCGTACCAAACTCGTATTCCAAACGGCAAACAGAGGCTTTATGCAGCTGTAAGGCCGCCGTCGTGTGTGAATAGATTATATTATACTCCCTCCGTTCCAAAATAGATGACTTTAATACAAAGTTGAGTCATCTATTTTGGAACGGAGGGAGTATTTGATTGTACACAGTTTATAAAAAGGTACTCCCTTCGTTCCGAGTTACATGTCTTAGATTTGTCTAAATACGGATGTATCTAGCACTAAAATGAGTCTAGATACATCCGTATCTAGACAAATCCAAGACAAATAATTTAGAACGGAGGGAGTAGTACAATGCTAACAGCACCTAAACACATATAAACATATCGAAAGAATACTCAAGGAACCATGCTCATTACTGACTGCACTTCAGATGGGAAAATCACGTGTATCCAGATCAGGGGTATCTGTTGACCTGATAACACTGATACAAAATGACAAGCTCAACGACTTGTTGCGTTGAGAAAATGCATCAGGACAGGTAATTAAGCTGTCTACCTGCATTTCCAATTCACCGCACTAGTGTTACCCACAGTACAGTTACATTACACGCTCATTCTCGCAAAGACCAAAACGGCTTCTGCCCTGAACTGGGAGCTGTATTCCCTCCAGGCACGCTAGTCGTCGTCCTCTTCATCATCATCCCCGTAGTCCATAAGCTTCAGCAGAGTATCTGAAAATGGATGCAGAGATAATATAAGCTTACAGAAGTTAGATTAGCTCTATATACAAAAGGTTATATCATGGTTCTCCTCTATTACCGGAAACAGATGCACTGCTTGGCTTTTCCTCTTTAGGCTCCTTCGGAGGTGGTGCAGCAGAACTCGATCTCGGAGGCGCCAGCAGCTCCTTTACAGCTGAATGCCTGTTCTCATTTCTTAACACTTCATTTGAAGGGAACTTAGGTGGTGGCGGAGGCATGCTCCTGGGCGGTGGCGGTGGCATGCTATTGGGATATGGCAGTGACATGTTCTTGGGTGGTGGTGGTGGCGGCATGCTAGTGTATACAGATGGATGAGATGGATGTGGATCTTGTGGAAGTATCCTATTTGATCCAGGCTGAACTTTCATTGTAGCTGCAACCGATGAACTGTTCATTTTACCTAGATCATCTAAACCTGTCTTAACAAATTTGGACCCCTGTTGTGAGTTCTGGAAACATGAAACAAAAACACTTTCCCATCAAATTCCTTTGCATTGAATTAAATTAAAGCATATTAATGGTAAAATGCAAAAGAAGGATGAAATCAGCAACTACTGTCCACAAACAGCACCACCAGTGCATAAATACATGAATTATATCGAATTGCAGTACAGGTAAACATGACATATGGAAAACCATTAATCATGCCGACTTAGCAAGTTGGGGACGGCAATGTTTGTACAACTAAGAAAATAAGGAAAGCTTCCCTATAAGTGTCTAATAAAGCCATTTCGTTCTAAACAAAAAATAGTAAAATTTGTACTAGTTATTATATACTGTGACTAAGCGAGCAAGTTTTCTAAATGCAGAACTGTAGGCATTTTCTCAGAGGAATAAAGTGGGGCTTAACCAGATTAATACCAATACCTATTAAGGAAACCGTATCAGCCAAGAATGCCATATTGCTAGCGATGTTAATAGTCATTTGCTGAAGCGTATGGTAGCAATGTTAATTGTCATTTAATGAAGTCTGCATGCTGGCAGCAACAGATTGAAAACAAGGGTACTTTGCATTAGCAACAAGAAAATAGAAGTAATCATCCAATTCACAAGCAGAATAACCCTGCATATCTTATCAGCAAAACACCATCGCGATTGCAAACTCCAACTTGGAATAAACCCTGTAGGAAAAAAGAACACATATAGATCTATTACCACCCTGCGAGCTTCAGACATGGTCAGAGAAAATACCTGGAATGAAATTATATGTTAGAAGCAGATAAGACGGTCCAAAAAAATGAATATGTGAATCTGGCAGTCATCAACTTACAAGTTACAATAGTTTTTAGCTATATGAAATGTAAAGTTCCCCTACATTGCAGGAACTGAAATTGCTTAATGAAAAAGCAAATTTCACAAATCTATTTGTGTGGTCCATTTCCAGTTTAAAACAAGACAAATATAACATGAAGTGCTATTGTTATTTTCAAAGTTTTCAAACTATTCAAGTGTGGTCAGTGTTATCAGATACAATATCCTATGGCAAACTGCAGAACATTGCTATTTTGCACCAGAAACTCCTTAATAATCAAAAGTGTGTCTCTAGTTTAAACTCTGTAGGTGCTACAATGTTAACATCACTTTCTTAATATAACATGCTGAAATCACATTTAAGATTAGGATGATGCAAAGATTTGATAAAGATTTCATAAAATCAAGATATACAACAAACAAAATTCATACGGGTTCTCCACTAGCAATATTTGCCTTGAATTCGTGTAGATAAGACATCAGATAGTGATCTTATCAAAGATGGCACAAGGTAAGCTGGAAAAGGTGAGCCACTGAGAACAGTTCAACTAGGGTGGTAATGTGGGGATAGACATGGAGAGGAAGGGGCGAGCAGTGGGGGTGAATGATGGATGGGGAATTTTTCTGAGGGGTAGACTGAAGGCTGCAAGAGATTGGCTTGGGAAGAGTGTAGCTGTGATCAAATATCAAGTCCAAGATGTAGCAGTTGAATCAGTTCAAATAATCCGCACCTGAAGATCTGCTGTTGGCAGTTCCTGGAATTTCCTCCTCTGTGAGCGTTTATCTGCCTCCAACTTTGTACTTGTGTTCACACTTGTCGTCATGCTTGCTGATGTGGATGCCACTGGAATAACCTGAGTTGTCGAAGATGAAGCATGCTTGAGTGTTAATGCCACCTGCTGCAATGGAGTTGCCTGGGGATAGATGTCTCCATAGCCATTGTAAAAAGCCCCATGATTTGCTGCTTGACTAGGATAGATCAGGTTACTGGGTGGGAGAATCCCGGAATAAGTTGGCGCCCCAGATTGAAGTGTCACTGAAGGGGCAGCTATGGGAGAAGTAACTCCAGTAGGGGCAAAGGAATGTGATGCTCCAGTTGACACACACATGTCTGATGTTCCCGAGGTGTGCACACCAGTCAACAGTTGCTGAGGAGGTGGAACAGCACCATATACTTTTGAAGAAGAAATTCTGTCATACAAAAAACATAGTGAGCATATATGCCAAGACATTTCTAATTTCTTGCTTCGCTGATGTGGTAAGCTAGATACTGTGTTAACTGGTACAAGTACATTAATAGAGTCATATTCTTACAGTATTCCAAAGGATAAACTAACAGAATCACAAGTGAGTTAGTCATTAATCATAGCATATAAGTACAGTAAAGTATGAATATTATTGCATTATGCTAGTCAGCAAATCGATCCCATTGGTTTGGTAGAAATAGAATGCAAAATTGTTCTGATGTAGCCAGAGAAACAAATAAAACTATTAAGGGGATTAAACCTGGTCAAAATATACAGACCTGGAAGCGCCAAGTTCCGCTGCTATTGTATCTAGAAGGTTTTCTGCTAAAACCTTTGCAGCTTCTAGGCTCTTCAAATGCACACCTGATAGGTGCATGTGCAGAGGTTGCTGTGATGCTGCAATAGACATTACGAGATAAATACAGGCTTGCAAGATACAAATTTCCAGAAGCTACTACAAATCACCAACCTTCAGCATGACAATTGCCAAGGTTCCCTGAATCTTTTCCTCTTAGTACAACAGTGACCCCTGTTTCATTCATAATGTGATTTATGTACTGATCCTGCATAAACAAATCAGAAGCACCAGCAGAACAAGAACAGTTTTTCCCATCCAGATTGGGATGTCAGAGAAAGCATTCACAATTAGTTCTTTTTTCAACAAAGAGGAAATAAAACAAGACTATTGACAAATAAAAGAGGGATATCAAGAATAACATGATTAAATTTAACCAGTGTCGCTTATCGTTTTCCAAGAACATACATTTGGTCCACGGATGCGAGCTGCAACGTTCAATGATGGATCTGCGTCAAAACCCAAAAAGATTGAGGCGCTAAAAGGAACAGCCTGTGAAATAAGAAGGAAGGTGTTAATCTAGTAACGAAAATTTTATTACATAGTAATACCATAACTATTTTACAGCTGATTCTCGCCTCCAAAAAAGAAGGGAAGACTTGAACTGTGCCATGAAAAGATCCTAAATCTAGGACAGTGCTATGGGAAGGTTCTGCTCTGTTAGTTGTAAAGGTTAGGGATCTGATCCTAACCTAAGCCTTTAATACATCAAATTTTTCGGGTGCTTCAGAATCATGGATGGGATAAATGTAAGAAGTCATCCATGAAAGTGACAAAGCGTCGAATCCATCCGCATATTTCACGGGAAAAGTACCACAGATGTCATTGTGAAACAACAACAACAACAAAGCCTTTAGTCCCAAACAAGTTGGGGTAGGCTAGAGGTGAAACCCATAAGATCTCACAACCAACTCATGGCTCTGGCACATGGATAGCAAGCTTCCACGCACCCCTGTCCATAGCTAGCTCTTTGGTGATACTCCAATCCTTCAGGTCTCTTAACGGACTCCTCCCATGTCAAATTCGGTCTACCCCGCCCTCTCTTGACATTCTCCGCACGCTTTAGCTGTCCACTATGCATCGGAGCTTCTGGAGGCCTGCGCTGAATATGCCCAAACCATCTCAGACGATGTTGGACAAGCTTCTCTTCAATTG